GCACCTCAAGACTTGGTACTCAAAGGTTTTCCCTAAGAGTACCACCTTGAGTCAGCCGCCCTTGAGTCAGCCGCCTCAGGTCAAGCACGCACCCGGGCCTCACAAGGGAATCTGGGACAATGGCCTGATGTCAGACAAGAGCCTGCAGCCTCCAAAGCGGAGACCCAAGGTGCCCTCTATCCTTATTTTCTCCAACTAATCGACCATGTCCTCGCCTGCTCAAGAAATACAGGGCAGTTCAAGCCTCAAGCTCGATTCTAGAATAAGGTCTAAAGTAGCCTCAAGATTAAAAAGAAGAAAGGTCTGTAGATCCTGACCAAAGAAGCCCCTAATGCAATGGAGGTTACCACCTTTAATGACCTCCTTCCTCATAATCCCTTCTTCCCTTTGCGGGTCCCAGAGTCTGAGCAAGTCCAAGAATATTGCCTAATGATCACTGCCTAAACGCCACGGTCGTAAGACTATCGAGAGACGGTCCTCACAAGGTCGGCGTACAAGGTTCGAGTCCAGTTGGGGTATATTGAGCCCCTGCAAATCAATTTGCCTCGTACGGCTTGCCAACCCCGACAATTCACTACTCCAGCTGGCTCTGACGTTCCAGAAGAAACGATCAGTGTCATTGTCATCAATGACCCTGACGATGCCCATGAAGACCTAATGAACAAGTTTGAGGTAATGATGTAGTCCATCCTCGAAAAGGTGGAACGCTTAGAAGCCTCCAGGTCCCCTTCTTATCACAATGAGACCGATTCCTCGTCTGGTGAGGACACAGTTCCCAGGCAAACTCCCCTACCAGTTTCTCAGGACAACTCTGCTTCCCGCATGGTTTCTCAAGCGGATATAGACGCCATGGTGAACCACAGTCTCAAGAACAAGGTCCTGGGATTACAAGAGGTGCCGCTTCACTAGAATCCAGACCCTTTGTACATCGATCAGGTGTCGTTTCCCCCAAACTATAAAAAAGGGATGCTCCCCCTGTTCAACGACACTACATCCCCTCACCAGCATACTGCTCACTTCCAAATGGCTTGTCGAGAGATGGAAACTAACGGGCGACTCCTCCTCCATCAGTTCGTCGGGAATCTCGAAGGGCCAGCCTTCTAGTGGTATGCTCGGTTGCCTTCAAACTCGGTGCACAACCGGTAGGAAATGAAGCAGTTGTTTTACCAATGCTTTTATGAGGTCCAAAGAAATGTGGAGACCATCGAGCTCCTCACTCTGACTCAAGACCCTAGTGAGCCGGTTGACAAGTTCATCTGTCGATAGAGAGAGTTGACAACCATTCATGCCACTCCCATGACCGAAAAAGAAGCAGTTCAAACCTGTATACAAAATATGTTACTCGTGATCGCCCTACATGTCGAGGCCTCCAATCCACCCTCCATGGCAAAGCTGTTTGTTTGAACACATTTTTTAGCACCTTGGTCCCTGATAGCAAGTAAGCCAATAAAAACCTACAAAATAGTGGAAATTCCCACAATCTTACAATAGCCCCAGAATTGGTCAAGAACTT